ATAGCTCAAGTGGTAGCTTATGACACTGACTTTTTTTTATCTCAACCAATACCTTTAATATTTTTTTAGGATATAAAATAATTCACATAGAAGAAAATTGCTTCACAAACTTGCACCTTTATCTCACAAATACATTTATGTGATGTTACATAAGAATATTAATATCTAAAATGAAAATGTAAGCACGAGCAGCAAGCTACATGAAAACTCGTAATTGTTCAACTATTGTCACTGTTGTCACGTCGCGTTTGAATACATCATCAAATATTTACTCGGTCCGTTGTAGGAGGAACATACAAACAAAACCGACTGGCAACACAGGACGACGAATGAAGATAGTGAATATTATTTACAGAGAACTTTCTGACATTTCATACATTTCCACAACAATGTTAGCAGTTCATGAATATAAAAAGAGCAAAGTTTGTGGGGCAGAGGTGTTTTTCGTTCACAGCAAAAAACTTCCGTGCGATTCATAATGTCAAAAATTAGAGAAACTACGATCGGCTCGGCTGTTCTATCTTGTGATAATAGCAATGATGATATAACTTATGAAACTCGCAAATAGCAGAAGTGATTACTAAATTGATGTCCTCCTAAAAACGGCAGAAAAGGATATAAACTGTTATCGCCTCCGCGTTTTGTTTGTCAGTTATACCGTTTGACCCGGGCCTGGTGCGATCGGAAACGGGTTGCCTTCTCGGTAATGTATTCATGAACAGACGAGGCAAACAATATTGCCGGCTGATCTCAATTTGTAAGTAGACACCCACTCCCGACCGCCGTCGGATACTCGGGCAAATATTTACACCTGAGAGACCTATTTCCATCTCTTCCCCACTTGGAAACCATACCGTTTCAGCCCTGCCTTTATTGCCTTAAACGACGCTTTTCTACTTCCCCGTCCGAGAGCGGCTTCTGAGGTATTCGCCTTTTTGGCCTAGCAGACGTTATTTATAGGCAAGCAGACACTTATAAAAGAAAAATTTATTGGTGTAATTTCTTTTAGATCAGTCTGAACTGCATGGAATTTTATTCCTAACGTCCACATTTAACGGTATTCTCAATTTCAGGACGATTTTATAATCCAAGCCGGTAAAGAGGTTCATTTAAACTGAAAACATCTTCACCAAACTACAAAGTTACAAAACTTTCAAAAACATACTTTGCAAATTATTAAGGAAGTAACTATTACATATATTATTAGTAAGCCCATTACAGTTCGTGGTCCGATTGAACAATTAACATTTTTCAATTAATTAACATATTATTAGTATTAGCTGATGGTATATTTTACGCCTTATTTTTTTCGAAAGTCGAAAATGATGGGCTATTTTGCCATTTTCTCAAACATCATGTTGATATCAAAATGTATAAATCATTTTTTAAAAAATAGTAAAATAAAATTTCTCGAAAGTAGGGAACAAACGTTGCCCAAAGGACGAAAAAAATAAACCTTTTATTTTTGACTTAATTAAAAAAAAAAAACCTACTCCATATTGGTAAAAGAGAATAAAAAGAAAATTGAAAAATAATATAACTACAAAAAATGTAGTATTAAATAGTATACATACAGGGGCGTCGATGAACGCAACGGTTTAGGCGTTGACATCAGGCTCATCACTGTAAGGTAAAGGTCCTGGGTTCGAATCCAGCGGCCCTGCATTCGAACCCGACATACTTACAAATGGGATTTTTTTCAAAAGACCTGTACCCTGAGGGTTGATGTGACCTTGGTATTGCGTAAAAAAAAATTAAAAAAATAATAAAAAAATAAATAAAAGTGATATAAGATAAGGAAAATACCTTTCTCTAAATAGCCAAACGACGACTTCTAGTTTAATAACTGTGATAATTATGTTTATAATATTTTTAAAAATGTTTTATTTTTTAACAAATAAAATTAAAATAAATACTTTTTACTTACAAGTTAAGTTTTATTTATTGACATAATTTTATTATTTAGTACATTAGTAGTATTAAGTACAATTCTTTCAACGTTTGTTTTGTTGAAATGATGGTTGATTTTGTCAATATTGTGCAAAATGCGTTTAAGTTAATGTTTCAAATTTTTTATTTATTGTTTTCGTGTCTTAGTTTTTATGTTACCTATATCTCAGTTTGAAATTTAGTAATTTGTATATTCAAAATTGTTATTGATTAGTAACATTAAAAAGTAAATAATATTAATTACGATCATGATAAATGAATTACTGTATTAAGATATATAACAATATGAATTATGATATATAATTAATTTTTTTATTACTAACAACTTATAACATATATTATTTATTATATTTATTTTTCGTTTTATATATAAAATATGTGTTATATATAAAATATATATATATATACACACACATTTTTACGTGAAGCCATTGAAATTGAATAGTTTGTTTTTTCAAAATATACCTACACCCTATTTGTTATTGATTAGTAATATTAAAAACTAAACAATATTAATTAACATCGTGATAAATGAATTATTGTCCATAAATCATACTTTTCAGGACGAATAAAATATGAAATATAATTAATTTTTTTATTACAAACAACTTATAACATATATTATAATACATTTCAAAAATTAATTATATATCATATTTTGTTAGTCCTAAAAAATATGATTTATGGACAATAATTCATTTATCATGATCTTAATTAATATTATTTAGTTTTTAATATTACTTATCAATAACAAATAGTGTAGATATATTCTGAATACACAAATTACCCATTTCAATGGCTTCACCTAAATATATATATATACAAATATATGTATTTTTAGGTGAAGCCATTTTAAATGGATAATCCCTGAAATTTATGTTACAGAAAAACAAAGAAAAATGATCAAACGGCAAATCTAAAAGTGTGAAGTTAACAAGTTAGGCAGTACTTGAATTAATCCCCTACCTTTTTTTGCATCGATGTAGTTATTGTGAATTAAATTTATTTAATCTCCAAATAATGATGTTTTTGTGTTTAAAATATCTCATTAAGAGTCAATTTGGAGGCAATAGGATGAAAGAAGGAATTTCCAATATAATCAAAGCATTAAGAATTAGGAGGGTAATGCTTTTTGATGGGAAACTGAACAGTTTCTTTACAAGAGAGAAAAGGTTTCTCAAGGGTTTTATGAGGTATCAGTTGCCGCCATTGAGGGGAGCTTTTGTTTGTTAAACAAGTTCTTTTAATTAAACCGGGTCAGCCGGTCTTCCCGACGGGATAATATGCGCCCGGATTATGCCCGTATTCCTACTTTCCAAGGGAGAAGCTATATTAAGAAATAACCCGCCTCCTTTCTCTCAGATATTTTCCACCCCGCCTCCGTTCAAATTTTTTTAACTTTAGCACGACGGGACCAAGAATGCGTTCAAACACGAAAGCGGTGAATTTTTTCTTCCTGAAATATTAACTTACTTTACTTTCTAATTCTTTCTTTCAGGTAGCACTCAATCTTTTTGCATTCAGCCTCAGGTTATGACTTTGTAATACAATTAGGATTCTGGATATAGAATATTTAAAAGTGATTTTCATTAAACTTCGACTATTTATTGAATTTAGGCTTATTTCTATATATATATACTTCACATCTACGTGATAATTCTTTCTGTTATCTCACAAAATTTGAACGACACACTAAAGCCTGATGGTACCTACTAATAGCATTTGTTGTTAATAATTGATTTCATCTTTTACTCTCTTGATTTAAGTATGCGTTACTTGAATTATTGAGCATTACCACACGAAATATAATAATCATCATTTGGAGATAGTGAGGTGTGGTCTGGTGTGTCGTAGGTTTTAGAAAAATATTTTCTTTATCGTGCCAACGTTTCGATGTTTATTGAGATCATCTTCAGGGCCTATCTCACTGGCACTCTCAACACGACAGACAAGAATGACACAACTACACGGAAAACAAACACTTTGAGTGAGTAAAAATTCATTTTTTGGATCTAAAATTTTCTAGCATTGTATAAATTCATTTTTTTTATCTAATTCTTTTTTGCATTGTATAAATCCATTTTTTATCTAAAATTTCTAGCATTGTACAAATTCAGTTTTTCACATCCAACATGTATTTGTAAAATTTAAACAATGTTTATAAATCCCAGGCCCTGAAGATGATCTCAATAAAGATCGAAACGTTGGGATGATAAAGAAAATGTTTTTCAAAAACCTACATCACACCAGACCGCACCTCACGATCTCCGAATAATCATTGGCTACCGGTCACTAAACATCACACATAATAATCATCTTTCATTTGGTTTTTGATTTCTAGTGAAATAAAAAAAATCGAAAAATGACCAAACATTGTTGTTAGATGATAAAATAACAATAAAATATCAAGCAATCTATATTAAATAATAGGTTTGAATATCCCATGGTTTTACAATTGTTTATAGCATGAAAAATATACTGCAAAGTGGTTTGACCTCACGTCCGCGACAGACAACGTGGAGGTGGACATTAAGCCATGGCAGGAATTACTTTACTTTTCTTTACTATGACAAATTTAATACGCAATTATGCTTTGGGGCAGAAAACAATTTATAATTTAACGCAAAATGAGTACTATCGCTGAATAACATTGTCCATTTTACAGAGTTAGTAAATATGAAATTATTGATTGATATGAAATTATTGGTTAAATAATCGATCTGTACAGTTCTCTGTTACTTGTCCCTTTAAATTTACGAACTGCACTCTTTGTATACCTGACTAATTAGATATATAATAGATTGTAGATAAATAATAGATTCCAAATTCGAAATAATAAATGCAAAGTATATCGATTATTGCATTCATGTTTTTAATGGTTGTCTTGAAAATTGATCTTCGTTAGAGGCCGTAATTAATGTGAAATTAAAGACACAATTCTGATCAAAATATACTGCGAGAACAAGAGGACATAATTGCGTAATTAGGTTCAAATATACAAAATAATTGACTGAAATATGAAAAAAACGTGAAAAGGAACAAAAACTCACGATGCTCATACTGGTACTGAGGAAAATCACAAACCTGAAAAAAAGTAAAAATGAATCAACAAAAAGATACATTTACATGATTTTATTAAAGTAAATAAGTATTACAATTAAACATTACAGGTTGCATAATTACCTTTTTTTTTATCAATGATACAAATGTTTACAAATACAAATGTACGAAATAAATGTAGTATGATTTATTTGGTAATGAAATTTAGCATTGCCCGACGTTTAAAAAGTAATATACACTATATAAAAGTAACATTTTCATAACAAATAACTTTTAGAATTGCTTTATATAAAGAATGATGTCGTATATTAAGACGTGTGATTGTTTGATAAAATTTAATTTTTAAAGTGAATGGTGATGAAACAGAAAATAATATCCACATTTTGTTGTTCAGTATAAAAAAGTATGATGTTTAAAATACAAAAAAACTTTTAAAATAAGTTTATATAAAGTATGATGTCATTTAATAAGACGTGTGATGGTTTGATAAAATTTCATTTTTAATGTGAATGATAATAAAACTGAAAATAATATCCATAATTTATTGTTCACTACAATAAAAACACCTATTATGTTTAAAATTAAAAAAAAAAAATTAAAATTGTTTTGTGTAAAGTAAGATGTCATTTAATAAGACGTGTGATTGTTTGATAAAATTTCATTTTTAATGTGAATGATAATATATCCATAATTTGTTGTTCTCTATAATAAAAAAAGTTTGACGTTTAAAATAAAAAAAAACACATTTTAAATTGTTTTATATAAGTTGTGATGTGATTTAATAAGGCTTGTGTTTGATCAAATTTCATTTTTAAAGTGAATGATAATAAAACTGAAAATAATATAATTTGTTGTTCACTATAATAAAAAAACGTGTGTTGTTTAAAATTTAAAAAAAAGTTTAAATTGTTTTATATGAGGTATAATGTGATTTAATAAGACTATGATTGTTTGATAAAATTTCATTTTTAAAATGAATGAGAATAAAACTGAAAATAATATCCATAATTTATTGTTCACTATAATAGAAAAACGTATGGTGTTTAAAATTTAAAAATAAATAAATAAAATTTCATTTTTAAAATGAATGAGAATAAAACTGAAAATAATATCCATAATTTATTGTTCACTATAATAGAAAAACGTATGGTGTTTAAAATTTAAAAATAAATAAATAAAATTTCATTTTTAAAATGAATGAGAATAAAACTGAAAATAATATCCATAATTTATTGTTCACTATAATAGAAAAACGTATGGTGTTTAAAATTTAAAAATAAATAAATAAAAGAATCTGCTCAAAAGCGGCTGATAGGGGGGAGGCGCATTCGGTACATTTATCTTTAAAAGTTGCTAAAAAGCGAGATCGGACGAAAGGAGAATATAATTCCGCCTCGTCTCCCACAAAGACTATTCACTCGGAAGTCTTAAAAGGGATTTCAAACGTCTTGAAGTTTTTAACTTTTCTCAACTCAGAACTTCGTTCTAAATTAATGTTATCTCGCCGTGTTATTTTTATGTGAGAAAAGAATCCCAGCTCCATTTTGTATATCACCGGTAAAGCGATGTGCTTCTATTTAGATGATGGATAGTTGTTATGGTCAGAAACTTTCTAATACGCTATCTTATAAAAGAAACTTTCTACATATCGAACCTTATATTGCCCCACGTCCATCATCTCGAACATTTACAATAGCGATGCTCAAACAAAAATCTATTATATAAAGCAGATGAATGGGATGTTTTTTACTTCCAAGAACTGTTTGGGAAATTGACGAATTCTACTTACTATATCATGAAAATATACTGAAAAAATAACCAATACCATAGTTTTTTAAGATTGAAACTTTCGAGTTTGGAAACACAATCAAATCTGGTTTGGCTCGCTGGTTGCCTAGCAATCGTTGGAATAATGTTAGAAAGAGTAAAATCAATATATTGTTCTTTGGTCCTTTTCCGATCATTTGGTCTGGGTCGTTGTATTGGTCAGATAGACGCGTTTCAGCTTCTCGTCACCTTCAGTTGTAGGTAAAAACATTTTTTATAACTGCCTCCAGCAGTGTGTTTAGTATCGATGGCGGAATATTTATAAAAATTACCCCATCGACCTTAATTTAGATTAGATTATTAGTACCGTGTGTAGATCGACGAACGAATATCGAGTTCTCCGACTAATTGAGCACAATGTATTTGTTTGCCCGACTGCATTATAGAATTTAGTTACTTTTAGGCTTGATTATTTTGCACGCGTTGGGGCCAAAATGACCTTGCTGCCGACAGCCCTCGTTGACGTCTAATCCCGTTAGTTGGGAAACGATGATCTCCTGGGCATCTTGCTTAAGGAAGATACTAGCGAACCAGCCCTATAACGGTGTAGGAGATCTCTTTGGGATTATAGACTCTAGGGTCACTAAAGCGAGGAGTGACCATTCTTCGGGGTGAAATTGTATAAGTCTAATTTCAATAATGAAATTCAATAATATGAATTTTTTAATTTATTATTGCTGAAGGTCAGATTGGAACAATAATTTTTTTCAATTCAATCATCTTTATGTAAGGTATTGGATGAGATAAAAAGGTCAGTTTCCCGAGCGGGATTCGAACCCAGACCTTCGGCTAAATACGCCGCTTCTCTACCACTTGAGCTACCGTGACTTCGATCCACTCGGACCCTAACTTTCCATCTCAACCCAACCTTTTGAATTTTCCCTCCTTTTTGCCATTTTTCAAATGTCGTGTAATCTATATGATTCTCGGCGACAAATGAAATTGCCACGGAGAGCTTTAGTGAATATATATATCAATTAACTTACTAAATTCATTAGATTTCGTGGTCCGATTGATTAAATAACATCTTTCAGTTAATTAATCTTTATGCAAGGTATTGGTTGGGACAAAAAAGTCAGTGTCACAAGCGAGATTCGAACCCACGCCCTTCTGCTAAATACACCGCTGCTCCATCACTTGAAAAATGGCAAAAAGGAAGGAAAATTCGAATAACCAATTACATGATCTTAAATGTATAATTTAACGATAATAAATTGTAAGGCGTATCAGCCTTTTCTAATAGTATGGTCATGGGTATGATGAAGTGAGTATATGAAGTCAATAGGTGAAAATCCGTTTGTGAGTAGAACTACCTTTTTAACTGTTTTTGTGAAATAGTTGGTTTGCAATTTTCAGCGAAAAAACAACAACTACAAAACAATGCAATGCATTAAATAGTAAATATTAAAGTATTTATAAAATAGTAGAACCTAAACGCCCAACGATCATAGGCAAACGACCATGCTCTTTACTTGAATAGTGATGACCGTTGAAAATAATGCCTGAATACAGGAAAATAAAGTGGTCAACAATCTGACAGTCATAATAATTCCATTAAAATTATTGAAACTGATTACACTTTAGAGTTTTTCGATCAATATATTATGGATTGCCTTGCCTCCGTGTTAATCTGTTGTAAATTTGGCCAGGTTATAATAATATATCAGCTAACATTTTCGTTGAGGTGAAAGAAATCAATTTGCTCGAAGATTTTGGCTTAAAATAAAACCTCTGGAAAAAAAATCCGGACTGTTGTTAGCAAGCTGCAACGGATTTAGAGCAGAGCCGGAGTTCCCACAGTTGTTGCCGGATAGTAGCTGAAACCATCTATAATTAAGAAAGTCACGATTCACACGATTCTTCACTCATACCCTCATCCACAAACGCACGACAACGCTCACTGGAAATAAAGATAATAAAGACTTGGAATTTAACACTACACACAGTTTTATTTATTCCTTACACAAATTGGATACGATCATACAGAAAGTACCATTATGTATAACTAAGATGGATATTTCTGCCCTCATTTTATTACACACATTCAAGCTAATCATATATATTACTATAATTAATTCAAATTACCAATAAATCACAATTTTGTCATTTACACTTATCCTTTTGAATAATTTCTTTTCGATTAAAAACTAAATTAATAAACAACTATTGATGTTTCATACTGTAATATGGAATTGTATATAAATTGTACAAAATTACATTTCGGTGCGTATTTATTTACGCAATCCACTTAGTTTTATCTTTCTATAATTCATTAGAGTTCGTGGTCCGATTAACCGAATAACTTTTTCAATTAATTAGTCTTTATATAAGGTATTGGTTGAGATAAAAAAGTCAGTGTCGCGAGCGGGATTCGAACCCACGAACCTCGGCTAAATATGCCGCTGCTATACCACTAGTGCTATCGAGATTTCGATCCTCCGGACACTAACTTCCCATTTGGCCGAGGGTCGTGAGTTCAAATCCCGCTCGTAACATTGACTTTTTTCATCTAAACCAATACCTTATATAAATATTAATTAATTGAAAAACGTTGTTCGGTCAATCGGACCACGAATTCTAATGAATTCAATAAGTAAAATGAAGTATACCTTGATACTCGACATTGGAAAAATGGCAAAAAGGAGGGAAAATTCGAAATGGTGAGTTGAACGGGGAAGTTAGTGTCCGAGTGGAACGAAGTCACGATAGCTCAAGTGGTAGAGCAGCGGCGTATTTAGCCGAGGGTCTTGGGTTCGAATCCCGCTCATGACACTGACTTTTTTATCTCGACCAATACCTTATATAAAGAATAATTACTTATAAATAGTTTAATTTTAACCTCAACGCTACTGAAGTAAGAAAACTATTGTGGTTTCTTATGGTGTTGCATTATTAGGGATTTCTTTCTATGAAGTGGAAGGCTAAAGTTGGACAGTTATTGGCTACTCTACATGGAAGGCTTTCTTTCGTGTATGTTTTATGTCGTAAATTAAATATTACATTCATCTGGTACCAACAGGTAAATGCAGATTATTAATTATGCTAATGATTATAATTAGCAGATAGATACTGATTATGTTTTTATGTCTACCTTATAGTTCATTAATTATGGGTGAATTTACCATTATAATGGTACTTTCACCAGCAAATGTTTAATAATTGAATGTTAGAATTTCAGTTAAAGAGAAGCAA